ATGTCCCCATCCACAGCACGGGTGGTTTATGCAAGTAGATGATTCGAGATCCGGGCAATCTCACAAAATAACACTCGTAAAGAATAAGCATGTTCCTGTGCCATCATGGAAACCAACACGCCGTGTTTCCTCGCCTTTGTTTGTTTTCCCACCGCCACTGTTCGCCACGCGCCAAACACGCGAACTCTTTTCAACAACAAAATTCACAGTGCATTAGGGTTCGAGCAGAATCGCACAGAAGTCAATTCTGCGATTGGCCGTCTGCAGGCAAAGCAACCCTGCCATCATGAGCTTGCTCTGATCGCAGAAAACAATCAGATGCTTTGTCAAAACCGCTATGCAGAGACCAGTGCGACCGCACACGTTTCGCAATGGACAGTTGTATCGACCAGAGTGCACAACCGTAGTCGATGCGGGACGAGGTTCTCACTGCACTCTGCGACGTGGACCGATGGAGGTTCTCCTCCAGCCGTGTTGAGCGCTCTGCGGTCCACGTGGCGCCACGGCGCGAACCTCGTTCTGCATCGACGACATTGCACGGTATCGCGCGCGACAAACTGCCAAACGCTTGGTCGATGTGAACGCAAGAAGAAGGTGAGAAAAGCTGCCGCAGTTGTGCAACGTCGTCGTTGCTGAACGTGGTGCGCCCCATTGTCTGGCACGTGGACTGACACGTGGATCGTAGAGCACTCAACGCTGCTGGAGGAGAACCTCCATCAGTCCTGTTGCCAGACTGCGGTGAGAACCCCGTCCCGGATCCACTGCAGTTGTGCACTGTGGTCGATAGAACTGCCGTCGATGAGGAACAAGGTTCTCGTCGTTGTCTGGCACGTGGACTGACGGACGTCCTCCTCCAAACACGATGAGTGCGCTGCGATCCACGTGGCACCACGGAGAGAACCTCGTTCTGCAGCGACGAAAGCTCGCAATTGGGCCAACAGTCTGGTCGTTGTTGACGCGTCTGAGCATTTCACGAGCGAAGTTGAAGGAGGCATGTGACGTGGCCCACTGGGATCCGATCTCGCACACGTTCCTTCTGGCAAGAGCACGAAGTTCGGATGTCGGCGGACTAGCACGACTACGATCCCTTCATCTCCACTAGTGCAGCTCGAGATCGTGAACATGAAGTTCGGATCCCGGCGGACTAGCACGGCATGCAATATGCACACGTCTCCATAATTGTCCGGACCAAGACACAACACTCTTGCCGCTACGGTTGCAGGCAGTTTGCGGGTTGCAACCTGAACGGTGCCGGAATGACTGCTCGCTTTTTTGGACAAGCGGCCAGGCTTAATCGGGATGACCCTGTTTCGACAAAGTTCGGATATCAGCGAATATCAAGAAATTTGCATCGCCCGTCCCGTCGGCTGCCAAGACACCCCTGGTGTCATGACTGATTGGTTTTCAGACAAGCAGTTCAACTCAGCATTATTTGCCGAAAGCCCTCGATTCACGAAGTTCGGATCCCGGTGGACTTCCCGTAGTGTGCTCCGTGAAATCAATTGAATCCGAATACCCCGATTCATGACCGACAAATGTGTTGTCATTGTCAACAACGTTTGTGACCAGCCTTGCCTGTTTGACTTCGCCGTGATTGCCGAGAACGCTGATTTGACGAAGTTCGGATCCCGGCGGACTACATGTAATGTGCGCCATCGAATCGCTCCACTTGGAAGACCCTTGCTACTCCAGCACCCGCCAAATTCGGATCCCGACAAACTTAGAGTCTCCGCGTAAATCTGACTGTTATTTTCGACATCTTGGACTTCCCCGTCCGTCGTCAAAAGTGCTCGCCTTCTGAGTTGCCCTGAAAGGGGTTTATCGGGGTTGACGACGGTGTCACTGGCAGGGTCCATTTCCGGTATGCCCTGGATCTTCGTTCATCGCCGCCCTGAAATGAGGTGCGCCCGAGCATCGCTTGCTTCTGTGCAAACACCAACCACCCGTTCCAATACCTGCAGCCGTGTCACATGCCTGTTACTCGCTACAGGCGAATCAACCAAGTTCGGATCCTGGCGGACTTTGAGAATCGGCGCATATCCAACCATCCTTCGCGTGACGCCTGGAGCTTCGAGTGCGAGTTAATTTCTAGAGGACAGTGGGTGCGAGAAATTGCTCGCCTTCTGAAATGCCCTTCAAGGGGTTTATGGGGGTTGCCGGAAATAAGGGACACGGCCATTGTCAGCGTCGGCAACCCCCATGAACCCCTTCAAGGGCATTTCAGAAGGCGAACAATTTTTCGCACCCCTGACCTCTGTCGCCCCCGAAGGGTTTTGACCGTTGTGGTGCGCGGAGTATTGTCGCAGACATGCTTGTGTTTCTGCGTGCTGTGCGGTTCGGGCTGTCGCACGTTGCCGTTCCAGGCGCGCGAGTCGGGGGTCGTCTTGTCAGTTGACCGAATCGATGTTTGGAAGGGTTGCAGGGGGGGTCTTTCATCCATTTCTACGTTTTTGTTCTCTACGAAGTGGAGATGTCCGAGTTCGATAAGCTCTTGAACTGGTACCTTTGAATGGAACACCGCACGAGGTTGTGTTGACGATGGTGAGAATCGGTGTTTATAGGGGTCAGTTTGGGGTCGCGCTGCGCCGAATTGTGTGGTGGTGCATCCACCACTACCCTTTGTTCTGCACGTGCTCTCGCTCAACGACAACAGAGCCTTCCTTCTGTACGCCCAAACAGAGCGTTCCTTGTGTGCACAGATGGTGTTCCCTTCCACTGACACCGGCCGCGCGAAAACAGGTTCCTTGCCACTCCAGCACCCGCCGATTTCGGATCCCGGCGAACTGTGAGGCTCCGCGTAAATCTGACCATTTTTCCTCAACAGCTTGGACTTTGTTTCTGCCTCGGATCCCGACGGACTTCACGTAATGTGCGTCGTCGAATCGCTCGACTTGGAAGACCCTTGCTACTCCATCACCCACCAAATTCGGATCCCGACGAACTTAGAGTCTCCTCGTAAATCTGACCGTTATTTTCGTCAGCTTGGACTCCCCCGTCCGTCGTCAAAAGTGCTCGCATTCTGAGTTGCCCTGAAAGGGGTTCATTGGGGTTGACGTCGGTGTCACTAGCCAGGTCCATTTCCAGTATGCCGTGGATCTTCGTTCATTGCCGCCATGAATATAATTTTTGTGTATTTTGACAGGGTATGTGCAAACGCCAACCACCCGTTCCAATACCTGCAGCCGCGCGAAGACCTATTACTCGCTGCACGCGAATCAACGAAGTTCGGATCCTGGCGGACTTCGAGAATCGGCGCATATCCAACCGTCCTTCGCGTGACGCGTGGAGCTTCGAGTGCGAGTTGATTGCGAGAGGACTGTGGGTGCGAGAAATTGCTCGCCTTCTGAAATGCCCCTCAATGGGTTTGTGGGGGTTGCCGAAAATAAGGGACACGGCCGTTGTCACCGTCGGCAACCCCCATAAACCCCTTCAAGGGCATTTCAGAAGGCGAACAATCTTTCTCACCCCCGATCTGTGTTGCCCCCTAACGGTTTTGACCGTCGTGGTGCGCGGGCTATTGTAGCAGACATGCTTGTGTTTCTGCGTGCTGTGTTGTTCGCGCTATCGCACGTTGCCGTTCCAGGCGCTCGAATCGGGGGTCGCCTTGTCGATTGACCGAATCAATGTTTGGAAGGGTTGCAGGGGGAATCTTTGATCCATTTCTACATTTCTATTCTCTGCGACGTGGAGATGTCCGAGTTCGATAAGCTCTTGCACTACTACCTTTGAATGGAACACCACACGAGCTTGCGTAGACGATGGTGAGAATCGGTGTTTATAGGGGTCAGTTTGGGGTCGCGCTGCGTCGAATTGTGTGGTGGTGCATCCACCACTACCCTTTCTTCTACGCGTGCTCTCACTCAATGACAACAGAGCCTTCCTTCTGTGCGCCCAAACAGAGCGTTCCTTGTGTGCACCCACTGGCGCTCCCTTCCACTGACACCAGCCGCGGAAAAACAGGTTCCTTGCTACTCCAGCACTCGCGAAATTCGGATCCTGGCGAACATCGAGGCTCCGCGTAAATCTGACCGTTTTTTTTCAATAGCTTGGACTTCGCTTCTTCCTCGGATGCTGGCGGACTTCACGTAATGTGTGCCATCGAATCGCTCGACTTGGAAGACCCTTGCTACTCCGGCATCCGCCAAATTCGTATCCCGCCGAACTTAGAGTCTCCACGTAAATCTGAACGTTGTTTCCGACAGCTTGGACTTCCCCGTCCGTCGTCAAAAGTGCTCGCATTCCGATTTGCCTTGAAAGGGGTTCATTGGGGTTGTCGTCGGTGTCGCTGGCCGGGTCCATTTCCGGTATGCCGTGGATCTTCGTTCATCACCGCCCTGAAATGAGGTGCGCCCGAGCACCGCCTGCTTCTGTGCAAACGCCAACCACCCGTTCCAATACCTGCAGCCGCGCGAAGACCTGGTACTCGCTACAGCGAATCAACCAAGTTTGGATCCCGGCGGACTTTGAGAATCAGCGCATATCCAACCGTCCTTCGCATGACGCTTGGAGCTTCGAATGCGAGTTGATTGCGAGAGGACTGTGGGTGCGAGAAATTGCTCGCCTTCTGAATTGCCCCTCAAGGGGTTTATGGGGGTTGCCGAAAATAAGGGACACGACCGTTGTCACCGTCGGCAACCCCCATAAACCCCTTCAAGGGCATTTCAGAAGGCGAATAATTTTTCGCACCGCCTATCTTTGTTGCCCCCCAAGGGCTGCTTCCTTATGTAGTGCGCGGAGTATTGTCGCAGACATGCTTGTGTTTCTGTGTGCTGTGCGGTTCGCGCTGTCGCACGTTGGCGTTCCAGGCGTGCGAGTCGGGGGTCGCCTTGTCGATTGACCGAATCATTGTTTGGAAGGGTTGCAGGGGGGATCTTTCATTCATTTCTACATTTTTGTTCTCTACGAAGTGGACATGTCCGAGTTCGATAAGCTCTTGCACTAGTACATTTGAATGGAACACCGCACGAGCTCGCGTAGACGATGGTGATAATCAATGTGTATAGGGGTCAGTTTGGGGTCGCGCTGCGCCGAATTGTGTGGTGGTGCATCCACCACTACCCTTTGTTCTGCGCGTGCTTTCGTTCAACGACAACAGAGCCTTCCTTCTGTGCACCCCAATAGAGCGTTCCTTGTGTGCACCCACTCGCGCTCCCTTCCACTGACGCCGGTCGCACGAAAACAGGTTCCTTGCTACTCCAGCACTGTCCAAATTCGGATCCCGACGAACTTTTAGGCTCCGCGTAAATCTGACCGTTATTTTCAACAGCTTGGACTTCGCTTCTGTCTCGGATCCCAGTGGACTTCACTTAATGTGCACCATCGAATCGCTCGACTGGGAAGACCCTTGCTACTCAAGCACCCGCCAAATTCGGATCCCAGCGAACTTAGAGTCTCCGCGTAAATCTGACCGTTGTTTTCGACAGCTTCGACTTCCCCGTCCTTCGTCAAAAGTGCTCGCCTTCTGAGTTGTCCTGAAAGGGGTTCATTGGGGTTGACGTCGGTGTCACTGGCCGGGTCCATTTCCGGTATGCCGTCGATCTTCTTTCATCGCCACCCCGAAATGCGGTGCGCCCGAGCATCGCCTGCTTCTGTGCAAACGCCAACCGCCCGTTCGAATACCTGCAGCCGCGCGAAGACCTGTTAAACGCTACAGGCGAATCAACCAAGTTCGGATCCTGGCGCACTTTGAGAATCGGCGCATATCCAACCATCCTTCGCGTGACGCCTGGAGCTTTGAATGCGAGTTGATTGCTAGAGGACTGTGGGTGCGAGAAATTGCTCGCCTTCTGAAATGCCCTTGAAGGGGTTTATGGGGGTTGCCGAAAATAAGGGACACGGCCGTTGTCACCGTCGGCAACCCCCATAAACCCC